ACACACACACACACACACACACACACACACACACACACACACACACACTTTGGTAAATAGACGGAGTTCATGCCACAGTGGGTTTTAGTCGTTGATCCAGAAAGTCTGTCAGCTTGGATAAACCAGCGATACCACAGGAGTCACTACTGGGATTTACTCTGACCCACTTCAAGAGTGCTCCACCTTGTTTTACTACAGCACAGCTCTGACGTCTCCTTTCACGGGGGACAAAAGGGGGCTTTAAATAAGTCAAATAGTGTGGAACAAAATGCTGCACAGTTATTACTTCATTTATTCATGTCATTCAGTTCAGAAAGCCAGAAATCTTTTTTCTCTTCTTCTTTATTGACAATAATAAACAAGTGCAAATACGTTGTACCATATGCAATTACAATAAACAAAGTTATAAGATATAACGCAGTGGGATTTACAATTCATATAAAGCAAGTATAATTTTACAGTTTTGGATTAATAGAAAACAAATCAAGCCAATGTAGTGGGATTAGAAATATACAGACGATCAACGCCATTCAAATTTGTGTTATCCGAATTATATCCACGTTATTCCATAGCAAGTCTGACAAAGGGACAGTCGTGGGAGCCAGAAATGTCAGCACCCTGCCCGCGAATACTTGCATCACTAATGCTGATCAGCACCTCTATCAAGACCTTTAAACACTCAGTACAGTATGGTGCACTCCTTTAAAGGGATAATCTGTGATCCAAACGGCTCAAACGTCAATAAAACAGCCCAATTATAGTATAATCAATTGACACAAAATTACTTTTCTTTTTATTACTATTGAATTAATTAATCTACATGTATTGTACTGAACATACGTATGGTATGCACGATGCAAGAAGAAAGTAGTGTAATATATAAAAGATGAATAAGCAATGTATTTTGAATTAGCATATTCAACATACCCCTATGCTGGAGCCAGACGTTCACAATAGAGGTCAGTTATAGAGGAAAGTTTATACCAATCCTAATTATATTACTGTGATAACAGTTTATATGTAGGTTTATGTCGGAATTTGTCATTAGCACTACATATAAACTTTGATACTGACGGCAAGGAGGACGGCTCTGT